AAGGCTGAGTCAACCTTGAACCGGTCAGGATCGAACACCTGGCAGTGGATGGAGTTAGCCTACAATACTGCATTCTAATCTCTTGGCCACCACGGCACACAGACATGCCAAGATGCGTGTCCAAACACAAACATAATTCACCCTACTAGAAGAAACCATTGGCCAACCATCACCTGATTGGTGGGAGATGCCAAATCTGCAATAGCCAATTATAATGTAATTCTCAGATCCCAAGATTTCTGCTTGGCTTGTTGCTGTTGTGGCTTCAGGAGACTTTTAAGACTGAGGCTGTGTTAAAAAATTATTTCAATACATAAACATACTCCCCAAGCTGTGCCACTACGAGAGCCAACAGCCCTGGGAGTGACCGGAGCTGCTGTTCAATATATCTAGCAGGCAGGTTGGGATAGGCCACCAGGTGTCATCTATGGTTAAAAGCAAAATAAGAGGATGCTTATCGCCCCCTACTGGTTTTCTGAGTAATGATGCTCCCATTAAAGTAAGTACTTTAATACAGGGGTCCCCAACCTCCGGTCCATATACCGGTACCGGGCCGCGGCATGCCAGCAACCGGTCCACATAAACAAGCAACGCCCCATTTGTGGGATGGAGGCAGCACACAAAACCACACACTCTTTGGTCCACAGAAAAACCTTTCTCCACGGAACCGGTCTCTGGTGCCCAAAAGGTTGGGGACCTCTGCTTTAATAAGTACAGCAGCAAGTGACATTGTTGAAAGCCTACCACTTTGGCAAAAATAAACCTTAGTAGAGTTTACTTTGTAACTGAGTCCATTGCAAAGCTGGATATAGATCATGCAGGACCGTACTCAGATGTACATTGGGCTGGAACGGCTCTTATTCAACTGGATCTTGAGGTGGCACTGGAATCAGTTGTATCTGGGGAAAACGAAGCCTTTCCTGTGGTGTCCAGTGATAATTTCAGAGGCCACGTCACCTAAGCTTCCTGGCATAATCTTCCTGGCATTTTCCCTCCAGCCATCTGTGAATTCATTTGAGTAAACTAGCATCTTGGACTTAAAGCCAAGGTGATTATTACCATTNAAAGTTGGAAGGGACCTTGGAGGTCATCGAGTCCAACCCCCTGCCCAGGCAGGAACCCTACACCATTTCAGACAAACGGCTGTCCAGTCTCTTCTTAAAAACCTCCAGTGTTGGCGCATTCACCACTTCTGGAGGCAGGTTGTTCCATTGGTTAATTGTTCTAACTGTCAGGAAGTTTCTCCTTAGTTCTAGGTTGCTTCTCTCCTTGATCAGTTTCCACCCATTGCTTGTTGTCCTGCCTTCAGGCGCCTTGGAGAATAGCTTGACTCCCTCTTCTTTGTGGCAGCCCCTGAGATATTGGAACACTGCTATCATGTCCCCCCTCATCCTTCTCTTCATTAAACTAGACATACCCAGTTCCAGCAACCGTTCCTTCAGCTGCATAATGGACGGAGAAAGAAACTGAGAAGGGACCCTCTCTAACTTCTCAGACTGTAAAGGAGAAGGCGGGAGATGAGTACTTTCACACTTGCAAGTTCGTCAGTGTAACTTTACAATAAATACAAATAACTCATCTGGTTGTGTTTCTGGTGTGGCCTACCTGGGAAGGCTGACAAGGTCATTTAATCCAATTCTCTACCAATGAAAGAGGTCCATCATTGCTGATCCTGCTCCAGTTGGCTCAGCTTCCAATAGACCTACTGAATTTGGCCCACACCAAACTCTAATCTACTTGCCAATTACTGTGTCTGAACTTATTCATCCCGGTGTGAACTGAATCCAGCTAAAGAACTACTGTAGATTTAGTCCTCAGCAGTTCTTACACACTAGGTGCTTCTGGAAGACAAGAAATACCACCGCTGTTTCAGCTGTTGCTGCAGTAATTCTTTATGAACAGAGAAGCAAATGTTTCTTCTGCTTAGCTAAAATGGCAGAACACTATCCATTTTTATCTGACAAAACGAGGCATGAATCGGTGCACCAGCAAGTGTAGCTCATCTTGAAAGGTAAGTCGGCTTGACTTGAGGAACCTCAAAAGAAGCCAACAACAACCTCAGATCTTCTTCAGGTTAGGTTAGGCTCACATACTGGAAGCCCTCCATCCTTTTTGTTCGTTTTGGTGCTTCAGGAAGCTTCTGAGGTCCAAATACATACAGAAAGACTGACCACGGAGCCACTGTGAGAGATTGTGTAAAGGCTGGGAACGCAGTGGAAGATTTCTGTGGGTGAGTCAGCTGAAACCTTATCTCATCATCGGCAACTCAGTCAGGTGAGAAGAAATGTGGGGAAAAAGCATCTTGAACTATTCAGAGAGACGGATAATAAATGAGGCTGGAAAATCCCCAATACACTTTCCAAGGTTCTACATTTACTCCAAACAATAAAGAGACTTGACTGAACCATGTTTAATTCTTTGGTCTTGCCCAGCTACAATATGTGAGACTTGACAAGCTACAGAGTTATGCTACCAGCTTCTATTCACTTGGAAATTTGAAAAGAACCATGAGTTACATTCCTATGACATTCCTACAATTTCTTCTTGAAGAATGGTCGATTCTCAGGGTGTCAATGCCAGGCACCCTACCAAATTCCACATGGGCACAGTATGAGCACGGGGAGGGAACGGAGGCAGAGCTGGCTTGGGAAGATGTTACTGGCAATGTGTGAAAAATTGGCGTTGTACGGAATGCCTAGGAAATCTATTGTGACACTTTTACGCAAAGTATGAAATGTCCGTGTTATTTTAATATGCTATATAGTAGTCCTCTATTTATAACCACAATGGAGTCCAACATTTCTATTGTTAAGCGAGACAGTTGTTAAGCGAATTTTGCTCCATTTTATGACCTTTCTTGCCACAGCTGTTAAGTGAATCATTGCAGTTGTTAAATTGGTAACAAGGCTGTTAAGTGAAGCTGGCTTCCCCATTGACTTTGCTTGTCAGACGGTCGCAAAAGGTGACCCTGGGACACTGCAACCATCATAAATGTGAGTCTGTTACAGCCAAGGGCCTGATTTTTTTTATCATGTAACCATGGGGATGTTGCAATGGTCATGTGAAAAATGGCCATTAAGTCACTTTTTTCAGTGCTGTTGTTAATTTCGACTGGCCGCTAAACAAACTGTCATAGTTGAGGACTACCTGTATAAATTCCCTAGGCATTGTACATAATACCTAGGCATTATGCAGAATGACAAGAGCTATTTAGGCAAAGTATGAAAAGAGTGCCATGAAAAAGCTTAACCCTAGCCCAGTGATGGTGAACCTTTTAGAGACCGAGTGCCCAAACTGCAACCCAAAACCCACTTACGTATCGCCGGGTGCCAGGTGGGTGTGGCCCACTCGGCGGGCACAGCTACAGTGGATGTGGCAGACTGGGTGGGCGTGACCACAGGATGGGTGTGGCTGCAGTAGTCATGGCAGACTGGGTGGGCATGGCTGGGGTGGGCGTGGCCACCTCGATGTTGCTTATGGGGAGAGACATTTGTGGGAGCAGGGCAGGGTTGGGGGAGATCCAGGGGGTCTCTGGCGGGTGGGATGGTGGGCTCCCCAATGGCGGCTCCAGGCTGGCTGGCCTTAGGCCAGTGATGGCAAACTTTTAGAGACCACGTGTGCTGGGGCGATGGCACGTGCCCACAGAGAGGGCTCTGCGTGCCGCCTCTGGCACGCGTGCCATAGGTTCGCCACCACTGCCCTAGCCCTTTTCATGACACTCTTTTCATACTTAACCCTAATCCTAACCCTTTATTGAAAAAAATGTATATGAAAATGAAAGAAGAAATGCAAAATAAAGTACAGGACTTTCCTACTGAAAAAAATAAACAAAAGGAAGACGCCATTATTGACCCATCTGATACAATAAGGAAGTCCAGAATGGCTTTTCAGTGGGAGTATTTTATACTTTGCCGGTTTGCCTTTTGGCGTTGCACAGACTGCCTAGGACAGCGGTTCTCAACCTATGGGTCGCGACCCCATTTGGGGTTGATCGACCATTTCACGGGGGTCGCCAAGCAAGGCTGTCTGCCATTTTTTCCCCCTTTTCCGGCGGGTGCCTTACCTCCCTTGAGCTGGGCCAGCTGGTGGTCGGCCTGCTCCGTCTCTGCCGCTTGCCAGCTACGCCTCGGCCGGCGCAGGGGGCAGAACCACACATGCGCAGCGCTCCCGGGCAGGGAAAGTCCTTGACTTACGACCGGTTGGGTAGTCCTCGACGTACGACCGGTTTAGTCCTCGACTTACGACCGGTTGGGGGTCACGGCAATAAAAAGGTTGAGAACCACTGGCCTAGGAAATCTGTGAAATGTTAAGTGTTTCATGCTCTGATGCCCCATTTTTGGCTTCCTATGCATTTCCTAGGCAGTCTTTAAAATGCCTAATTTCACACATTGAGAGTAACAAACACATGAAGGTGCCAACTTCAGTCCCAAATATTTTTATAACAACAGGGGACGGGAAACACTCTTCTCTAAGACCTGGGTGAAATAGGAGACCAAGCTTCAACAGACATATAAATACACCAGGCAATCAACCCATTTCATTTTCCAACCTGAGCAATTGTATGCCAGCATCAGTGCAGGCACTACCCAGCTTTATATGCCCCAACATAAAGTTGCTTTCGTTCGTTTCGACACAAACAAAATATGCACAATTTTGCCTGTCATCCTAGAATCCTAATATTTTACTGACGTCCAAAAATGCCACTTGTACTAGCACTGATGATGTTACCTAGTTTGGGTAATGAAACGTCTGCAAGTAAACAAGCAAGCCGAGAGAGCACCAAGGACCCCTCTCTAAGCCACTTGTCCATGCCAAATGAGCAACAGTCCAACTTTCCACCATCTCTTTCACCCACCATAATGTTTATGAATGGGACGGGTTCACCATCTCAACAGAGTAGCACAAAGGCAGCCCGTTTCTCCCAAACGTTCTTGGCTTGTCCATATCCCGAACAGCAAAGCCGTCTCCAGGTGTCTCCTTTGTCAGGTTGGCTTCAAAAGAAGAGGAAGGGCAAATGCCGCAGATTTACAAGGGGCCATTCAGCTGCTCTTTATCAGGCTGTACCAGATCTTGATAGACAAGGGAACGAAGGAAGCGAGGATACGAGTCTTTCTCCATCAACCCAAAGATCCTCTTTTGGGCTTGGTCAAAGCAAGACCGGGTGGGGAGCAAAATGTTCCGATTGGTAACATCTCTGGTCTGGGAATCAAGGTTCACCTGCAACGAGATGCAAATGGTTATCTACATGGAACGAAGAATAGAATAGAATAATAGAATAATAACTTTACTATCACTCTGAATGTACACTAATTGGCATACATTGAAATGAAATGTCGTGGCATACGGCTCTCAAAGGGTCACCACCTCCGATATACACTAGATAAGTATGACAAAAATAAATAAATAGATACAGAATTATGCATATACCCACATATATTATACGACACAGAGAAACAAAACAGTCTAGTTCGGGTTTATGTATACATGTGCATGGCGAGAAAAACGAATCTTGCAAGTTTACCAGATGAATGGCATAGGGAACAAAGTTATTACAGAATCGGGTAGTCGTGCTATAAATACTTCAAAACCTTCTCCCAGAGGGGAGCAACAGAAACAGACCATAAAGTGGGTGTATGGGGTCTCTAACAATGCTTCAAGCTCTAAGCACTTATAAGCACCATCCTGAATACCAAGGAGTGAGCTTCCTATGATCTTCTTGGCTGTCCTTACCAATCTCTGTATGGACTTTTTATCTGAGGCGCTGCTGCCACCAAACCAGACCGTGATGCAGTTTGTTAAAAGTGGCTGCAATTGTGATTTGTTTAAACACGAACAAATCTTATTTGCAGTAGCAGAAAAAAAATCCCCTCAGGGGCTTGAAACAAGACATCGTGAGTTCAAAAGTTAGAAACCTGGTCACAATGGATAGAGTTTTAATAAATAAACGCTGATGCAGAACAGGTGTTGAAATAGACATTAGTGGACCTCCCTCCTTTTAACTGCATCTGGTTGAAGATATATAGGTAGTCCTTGACTTGCAACCACAATTGGGTTCAGAATTTCTGTTGCTAAGCAAGATGGCTCTTAGGTGAGTTGTGCCCAATTTTACAACCGTTTTTATTACGATTGTTAAGTGAATTACTGCACTTCCTAAGTAAATCGTGAGGTTGTTAAGCGAATCTGGCTTCTCCTATTGACTTTGCTTGCTGGAAGCCCCCTGGGAAGGTTGCAACTAATGATCACGTGGCTGCAATCATCATAAGTCCATGCTGGTTACCAAGCACCCGAATTTTGATCATGCAATTGTGGAGGATGCTACGATGGGCGTAATGCAAGTTCTATGTCACTTATTTTAACGCTATTGTAACTTCGAATGGTTGATAATCAAATGGTTGTAAGTGAAGGACTACTGCACCTGTAGTTTATTCAGAGAATTCACAGTGCAGAGAAGAGCAACAAAGATGATTAGCGGACTGGAGGCTAAAACATATAAGGAACGGTTGCTGGAATTGGGTATGTCTAGTTTAAGGAAAAGAAGGATGAGGGGGGACATGATAGCCGTGTTCCAATATCTCAGGGGCTGCCACAAAGAAGAGGGAGTCAAGCTATTCTCCAAAGCACCTGAAGGCAGGACAAGAAGCAACGGATGGAAACTAACCAAAGAGAGAAGCAACCTAGAACTAAGGAGAAATTTCCTGATAGTTAGAACAAGTAATCAGTAGAACAACCTGCCTCCAGAAGCTATGAATGCTCCAACACTGGAGATTTTAAAGAAGAGATTGGACAACCATTTGTCTGAAATGGTACAGGGTTTCCTGCCTGAGCAGGGGGTTAAACTAGAAGACCTCCAAGGTCCCTTCCAATTCTACTATTCTGTTCTGTTCTGTTCTAGTCTAGTCTAGTCTAAAAGTGGAATTAATGCACAGCATATACACTTCCTTTGTTGTTTCTCAACAGGTTCATTAGTTTCCATTAGTTCCTCATACCATATTTAATGAACAATGGGATAAATTTGCACATCACCCTACAATGGTTTGTATGGTCATGGTGGGTTAAATAAACCACAGTGGGATGGGTTTACATAATACTAAATCCAAACTAAACAAAGCAAATAGCAGGCCCAGTGTGAGATATGAGCTAAATTATTCCACAGCTCCTACTGCATATTTCAGTCAAAAAGAGAATATCCAGGATCATTCCACACAAACAAGTAATCCTCGACTCACAACCATTACAAAGTTACAACAGACCCCCCCCAAAAAAGCTACTTACAACCTGGATTTGAAGTTCCAATGCCCACTTAACCCCCCAGCAATCATTGTGAATGTATGACATTTTTGCTGTGTTATGATTTATTGATTTATATTTCATACTTCTTCACCTTAAAATTTTATGTTTTTGCTGGAAACCCATGTTTATTTCTGATTTCTGGCAAAAAAAAAATGCCTCATAGTGAAAAATGAACTCGCTCAATGACCACAGCATTCTCTTAATGACTGTGATGCTTGCTTTATGATTGCCAGGTTCGCTTAATGACCCACTGCAAAAAAAACCCTGTAAAATGAGGCATGATCATGTGATGTGATCTGCTTAGTGTCATAACTTAGGATTGAAAATGAAGGGTCAATCACGGTCATAAGGGGAGGACTACCTGTACGTCCTGCAGGTACAAGTCCAAGAAAAGCAGTTACATGTCCTGCAACTTTCAGCTACACAGAGTCCTAAGATTAGCTGAGCAGTAGCAGGACATGTGCGACGATTGGGTCCTGTGCTTGCTTCAACAACCCTGTTTGATTATTAACTTCATTCTCTGACTTCCTTTTTCCTAATCTTTGTTAAACAACAGCAGAGCCCAGGGACTATCAGTACGATTCAGAAAAACATCTGAGGAAATGCATTTGCCTCCTCCATCATACCACTGTGAAGGACATATAGTTTTGCATATTTTCATTTCATCGGCATTTCTTCCTTTCTAGCTTTCGAAGTAGATCTTGATAAAACACTACAAAAAAAGCAAGTTCAATATCATCGGCCACCAGCAAAGATATATGAGATTTGTTCTGTGTGGTATTTGGCCTGGTAGAGACACACCCATTTGTCTGGATTAGTACAAAGGAACAAAAAAACTTTGTAAGAAAAGAATAAGAAAAAAAAATCTGCTCAAATGATGAATACAAAGATTTGAGGTGCCTATGTATGCAGCAATACTCATGCATGCATGCAGAAAAGAGCAACAAAGATAATTAGGGGGCTAGAGGCTATAAAATATGAAGACCGGTTGCGGGAATTGGGTATGTCTAGTGTAGTGAAAAGAAAAACTAGGGGTGACATGATAGGAGTGTTCCAATATCTCAGGGGTTGCCACAAAGAAGAAGGAGTCAGGCTCCTGAAGACAGAACAAGAAGCAATGGATGGAAAGTAACCAAGGAGAGAAACAACATAGAACTAAGGAGAAATTTCATAACAGTGAGGACAATTAACCAGTGGAATGGCTTGCCTTCAGAAGTTATGGGTGCTCCAACATTGGAGGCTTTTAAGAAGAGATTGGACTGCCACTTGTCTAGAATGGCGTAGGGCAATGGTGGCAAACCTATGTCACACGTGCCAGAGGCAGCACTCAGAGCCCTCTCTGTGGGCACGCATACCGTCGCCCCATCCCCGCCTCCCCTCGCAGCCCCCTCCTCACCAGCAGCCCCCCTGGAGGAGTAATAATAATAATAATAAAGTTGGAAGGGACCTTGGAGGTCATCGAGTCCAACCCCCTGCTCAGGCAGAAGCCCTATACCATTTCAGACAAATGGCTGTCCAGTCTCTTCTTAAAAACTTCCAGTATTGGAGCATTCACCGCTTCTGGAGGCACGTTGTTCGACTGATTAATTGTTCTAACTGTCAGGAAATTTCTCCTTAGTTCTAAGTTGCTTCTCTCTTTGATTAGTTTCCATCCGTTGCTTCTTGTCCTGCCTTCAGGCGCTTTGGAGAATAGCTTGACTCCCTCTTCTTTGTGGCAGCCCCTGAGATATTGGAACACTGCTATCATGTCCCCCCTCATCCTTCTCTTCATTAAACTAGACATACCCAATTCCAGCAACCGTTCCTTATATGCTTTAGCCTCCAGTCCCCTAATCATCTTTGTTGCTCTTCTCTGTACTCTTTCTGGAGTCTCAACATCTTTTTTACATCGTAGTGACCAAAACTGGATGCAGTATTCCAAGTGTGTCGCTGCCGGGCCTGGCCCGCGCGAAGCAGCGTGGCCAAGGACATGGCAGCCGGGCAGCAGGTATAAGACCCTGCCCTCACACCCCATCACGTGCAGATGATGCTGTGGGGTGCAGGCGGAGGGTGTGGCCGCCATGGCACTGCAGGGCTGCCTGGGCGATCTGCAGCAGGCCATGGTGGTGGTGGGAAGCCCTGCGGTCAGGCAGGCGGAGCGGGGGCAGGTGGGAGGGACGGGGCACTCAGTCTCTAAAAGGTTTGCCATCACTGGCACAGGGTCTCCTGCTTGAGCAGTGGTTGGACTAGAAGACCTCCAGGGTCCCTTCCTATTCTGTTATGAACTCTGTTACACCATATGTATATTGATAATATAAGGGGAAAAACACAAAGCAAAATGAGGAATAATGGTTTTTCTCCGATAAATGCATCCCATTTCATAAATGAATCTACAAATCCAAAGGAAATGTTAATATTCCCCTACCTCTTTTGGAGCTTGGATCGTGATATATTGGTCAAAAATCTTTTTTGCACTATCCTGGAGTTTGTCACATCCTCGGAGTTTTCGATAATCTTCACAGGCCATCCAGAAGTCCAAGTTCTCTTCGCTGAATTCTGACTTCAAGAAAGCGTGAAAAGCAGCTCGACCATCTATAATGCGGAGATGAACAGACCAAAACAATTTATTGAAATCTTTCCCTCTTTTCTTTTTACATAAAATCTGTAGAAATTCTGTTAATTCAACCTGGAATAAGTTCTGCAGTTTATCACATGGATTTTTTTTTTTCTGCTTCAAATTACCAAGCGATATTAGTGGATGTTTTAGGAAAGGAGAAGATGTTAGTACAGATAGTCCTCGACTTACAACAGTTTGTTTAGCAACTGTTCAAAGTTATAACGGAACTGAAAAAAGTGACTTGTGACCGTTTTTCACACTTACGACCATTGCAGCATCCCCATAGTCACGTGATCAAAATTCAGACCTTGGCATCTGTCTCATATTTATGATGGTTGCAGTGTCCTGGATGATGTCATCCCCTTTTGCGACCAAAGGGCCAGGTTTGAAGACCTCTGATCTAGGAATTGCTGAGAATGCCCTCTGGGTTCTCCTTAGCTATAACACACCACAGAGCTAGAAGAAAATCTTCCTTCTCTGGACTGAACTATAGCTCCCATCATTCCCATCCAACAGTGCTTTTGGCTATAGTTGGAGGTCATTGTAGTCAAACATAACTACAGGTCATCCTCAACCTTCAACATATGAGGAACGGTTGCTGGAATTGGGTATGTCTAGTTTAATGAAGAGAAGGACGATGGGGTACATGATAGCAGTGTTCCAGTATCTCAGGGGCTGCCACAAAGAAGAGGGAGTCAAGCTATTCTCCAAAGCGCCTGAAGGCAGGACAAGAAGCAATGGATGGAAACTAACCAAAGAGAGAAGCAACCTAGAACTAAGGAGAAACTTCCTGACAGTTAGAACAATTAACCAGTGGAACAACCTGCCTCCAGAAGCGGTGAATGCTCCAACACTGGAAGTTTTTAAGGAAAGACTGAACAGCCATTTGTCTGAAATGGTATAGGGTTTCTTGCCTGAGCAGGGGGTTGGACTCGATGACCTCATAGGTCCCTTCCAACTTTATTATTATTATTATTATTATTATTATTATTATTAGTTCATTTAGTTACTGTTCAAAGTTACAGCAATACTGAAAAAAGCGGCTTACGGCCGTATTTCACACTTATGACCGTTGCAGCATCCCCAGGGTCACGTGATTAAAATTTGGACGCTTGACAACTGACTCATATTCATGACGGTCACAGTGCCCCAGCGTCAAGTGATCTCCTTTTGCGACCTTCTGACAAGCACAGTCAACGAGGAAGTCAGATTCACTGAACAACCGCAGTACTAACTTAACAACTGCATCCATTCACTTAACAATGGTGGCAAGGAAAGTCATAAAGTGGGGCAAAATTCACTTAACAACTGTCTCGCTTAGCCACAGAAATGTTGGGCTCAGTTGCAGTCGTAATTCGAGGACTACCTGTAGTGAGGTTGACAAAAGCTATTATAGCTTAATAGCTGTCTTCATAGATTTGTTTTTATTTTATTTTTTCCCTTCTTCTGGTGGTTTAATATTGTAATATAAAATCCCCAATGACACAAGTACTCTCTAATCAAAGAAACCATGACCCTTATTGGAAAAAAATAGAGCATAAATATCTGTATGAAGAGACTCATTGTTAAATATCATTCTCTCTGTGCTAGGTAGGTATTTAAGGGCAGCATCTGCAAATCAGATTTTTAAGAGCTCATCGTTCATAGAACAATACATAATTTTCAACAATGATAGGAAATCAGGTATTCAAATAGCAATCTGCTCTGCCTGTCCCTAGGGTGGAGTGTAGGAAGCCTCTCAAAATTCAGAGGGGCATTTCAGGTGGATTTGTTGTTTCTGGCATTTCCCTGCTCATTTCTTAAAAGTGTTGTGTCTAAGTGGCAAGAGATTTTTTTTTTTTTTTAAGTCTACAGATAGTACTTGGATTACAACCACAACTGAGCCCAAAGTTGCTTTTGGTAAGTGAGACATTTGTTAAGTGAGTTTTGCTCCGTTTCATGGCCTTTCTTGCCACAGTTATTAAGTGAATCACTGCAGTTGATAAGTTAGTAACCCGGTTGTTAAGTGAAACTGGCTTCCCCATTGATTTTTTGTGAGAAGGTCTCAAAAGGGGATGACATCATCCAGGACACTGCAACCGTCGTAAATATGAGACAGATGTCAAGGTCTGAATTTTGATCACGTGATTATGGGGATGCTGCAATGGTCGTAAGTGTGAAAAACGGTCATAAGTCACTTTTTTCAGTTCCAGGTTTGAAGACTCCTGTCCTAGATCATAGCCAAAACATGTCCCTGCTCAAGAAAGTCATAACAGTATGTTATACCGGTATGAACCAGAGCCCTAAATGATTTTATTCTCCTCTTTCAGACCCATCGTGATGGTCTGCAGATCCCTGAGAACTAAAGTTCAAATCATGTCCAGACCTGACAAGAAGGAGTTCATAAAGCAACATGTTTGTTGGCCATCAGTCCTGTTCCTAGGAATACGGTAGTCACCGATTCTTGACCTAAAGAAGATGCCAGGAAGGAATAGGGGTGGATGTCCTGTCAAACAAGCTACTTGATCGGAATTTGGCCACTCCGAACGCTTTCTGCTCTCTTGTAGGCTGGACTGTTCCTCTACTAATTTGGACGTCTCTCTCCATGTCCCACAGGACTTCTGAGAAAGCTGGATTCTGAGGAAAACAGGATTTAATTCATTTGGCAAGGACCGGACCATTTTTATGAAAAGGCCTTTTGTTTACATATTTGCCTATGCTCTCTACCGGTTGGAATTCTGGGAATCGGCGTTAATGATTATTATTATTAAGCAGGCTGGGTTTGGTGCCAAGAAACCATCTGGAATAAACAAAGGTTCTCAGGATGACTAACCCTCTTAATTGTCAAACACCGTTCTGTGAAAAAGACACCCGGAAATCTATAAACTGTGTGTCAAACAATCCCTTTAAAAGGTTGACGAGCCACTTGTGTAAACTTACATGGGTGTAATAGCAGTTTGTCCAAAGATTCTGCCCATTCATGGGCTTCCTCGGGAGTTGGCCTGAAGAGAGAACAAAAATGAGTGACTGGAAATTAAGATGATTAAAGCCCTGGAGACTAAAACATATGAGGAATTGAGCATGGCCAGTCTAGAGAAAAGAAGGACTAGGGGGAACATGATAGCGGTATTGCAGTATTTGAGGGGCTGCCACAAAGAAGAAAGGGCTCAGCTTATTTCTCAAAGCACCAGACAGCAAGGCAAGAAACAATTAATGGAAACTAATCAAGGAAAGAAGCAACCTGGAATTAAGGAGAAACTTCCTAACAGTGAGAATAATTAACTAGCGGAACAACTTGCCTTCAGGAGTTGTAGGTGCTTCATCACTGGAGGTTTTTAAGAAAAGACTGGACAGCCACTGTCTGAAATGGTGTAGGGTCTCCTGCTTGAGCAGGGGGTTGGACTAGAAGACCTCCAAGGTCCCTTCTAGCTCTATTCTGATCGATTGGAACTGGAAATTAGATGTGACAGACGAGAGGTCTTTGCCCAAAGAATGTTAGTAAGAGTTATCCTATTAGTCTGTGCTGCAAATAATGTAAGAATAGCATGGAGTTATTCTTTCAGGAACATTATATGAAGACCTAGCTCTCTGGAGAAGGCTCTAATGCTGGGAAAGGTCAAAGGAAAGAGAAGAAGAGGATCAGCAACAAGCTGGTTGGGCTAAATTACACTAGTAATGAGGCCACTGTTGGAAGACCAGCTTAGAGACAAATCTTGAAAAATAAGAATAACAAGAGTTGGAAGGGATCTTGGAGGTCTTCTAGTCCAACCCCCTGCTCAAGCAGGAAACCCTCTGTAACATTCCAGACAAGTGGCTGTCCAATCTCTTCTTAAAAGCCTCCAGTGATGGAGCATTGCCAACTTCTGAAGGCAAGCTGTTCCACTGGTTAGTTGTTCTCACTCTCAGGAAATTTCTCCTTAGTTCTGGATTGCTTCTTTCCTTAATTAGTTTCCATCCATTGCCTTTTGTTTTACCTTCTGGTGCTTTAGAAAATTGCAGCAGAAAACAGCATCTTCATAGATTAAATCACTGTCTACTATATGTGGGCACTAAGAGTCATCACCGACTTGATGGCATAATCAATCAATCGCATTCAGTGGATTGGCAAGGGTGTCCAATTCCCAGTAGTTCAATTGCATCAACAAAAATGAAGCATTTTGCACTGACTGCTCAAAACAGCAACTGTCTTCCTTCAGTTTCAGGATCAAAGATGTTTTATCAAAAGGCAACTGGACTTTCGTGGTGTTTTTTTTCCCTTGAAAACATTTCACTTCTCATTCAAGAGGCTTCTTCATAACCAAAGAAGCTTCATAACTGAAGAAGCTTCTCGGATGAGAAACAAAACTGTTTTCAAGGAAAAAAATAAACCAAGAAAGTTCAGTTGCCTTTTGATAAAGCATCTTTGGGACAACCATGACTTGTTTGACTGAAAATCTCCTTAGACATTCAGGAACAAGTGTTCCTGCAGGTTTTTTTTACCCATATGAAGAAAAGTTCCATTCACAATCAAAGCAGGTCAATGAAATTCTCTTCCAAGTCATTCACCTCCACCAGAAGGATTGCATTTCTTATAGCTTCATGCCAGCAAGTTCTTACAACATCTTTCTGGACAGACATTTGTCTGAAATGGTATGGAGGGTTGGACTAGAAGACCTCCAAGGTTCTGTTCTGTTCTGTTCTACTCTACTCTACTCTACTCTACTCTACTCTACTCTACTCTACTCTACTCTACTCTATTCTCTTCTCTTCTCCTCTCCTCTCCTCTCCTCTCCTCTCCTCTCCTCTACTCTACTCTTCTACCCTACCCTACCCTACCCTATCCTACCCTACCCTACCCTATATCTTTTCCTTCTCCTTTTTCCTCTTAGTTGGCTGTTGGGTCTGCAGAGCTTTTGACTTCACTTTCTATGGCTGAAAGACTTCATGCTTCAGTCACAGTAACTTAATCATCCACTCCACAGGTCTTCTTGGGGCCCTATCTGATTCTTCTGCAGCCAAACATCCAGGTTATTCTTGACATCAAGAGAAGTGATTCAAGGATCAGGTGCAACCCAGCAGTTGTCTTTTTTGCAGCCCTCGAGACCTCCAAACCAGAAAATCGATTGTGAAAAGCAATAGAATAATTGCTTTGTGAAAAGCAATAGAATAATTTCTGGTCAATCCTCTCCAAAACAGGAAAATCAAGTAGAATGCTATTACTGTCCCCTCTAGTGATGCCATTAATTCACTGTCCTGTTTCTACCCCATACAGCCCTTAGCAATAAAGAGAAATTGTTTCAAATTTGCAGGCCTCTGGATACAATAGGTTGCCGGTTCTTTTCGTCTTTGCTATAGCTGCTGGCTGAATAAGGACCTCTCATCTTCTTTGCAGCCTTCAGACTCACTGTGAATCTGGTGCTGCAAGCCTTCCATCTGCTCACCTGTGGCTGTGGATGATGGGGAGTTTTAGTCCCACAATCTGGATGCTTAATAAAGTGGAGAGGGCTGGCAGAGACAGTACTTATCTTGGACTCGCCTCTAAGATGAGATCCATTCAGGAAACCATCTGTGGCTCTAAAAGCACATTCAGGTTCCTTCAACATAGTGGACGTTCAAATCAGGTAATAAAATTACAGTAAATGTAGACCCATTAGAGTTCTAATGTTGCAAGCTCGCATACTGGCTATCTAGGTCTCTAGGGCATTCTCTTTCTCTCCATCTATCTGTTTATCATCATAAGGGCTTCCAATTTGCTGCCCTGAGGCTCTATGAGCTCTTGGCTTCCTTTCAACAGCACTCTGTAGGGAATCTAGCTTGGGACAAAACACAATTTCTCCTAGCCCCTCCTGTTCCTGGATATAAACAAAAGGAGATAGATGGATGTCTCCTCATTCATGGGAAGTCAGATTCTTCTGAAAAAAAACATGAACATTCGATTTGGTATCCTATCAACAGACTGGAGTGTATTTCCAAAATACATTTAACTACACTTAATTTAACTCAGCGAGTTAACCACTTCGTGATTTGCATGCATACAAGTTTGCAAAGTTTGAAGCTTTGGGTCGTTGTTTACGAGTGAGTTGTACGCAGGCAGCCCCTCTCGTTGGTTAGTTCAATGTACTTGTATGGTGCGAATTGTGGGGTTCCGCACATTGCGAGAACGGAACCACTATCTTGTCTAGCCATCTCTTCCTTGGGAGGAAATGGGAACTAAACCAGTTGAACCCTGCATGACAGGAAGATGGGAGTTTTAATTTAGTAAGTTGCAGCCAATGACTAGCAAAGTAGTTTTGGCTTTGAAAAGTGTAGCGGTGGAAGGTATTTGAGTAGTGGTGAGCAATGCATCTACTGCATTGCTCAATGCATCTACTGCATTGCATTACCAACCTTTTGGGCATGAGGGACCGATTCCGTGGAGAGAGATTTTTCCGTGGACCGGAAGAGAGTGTGGTTTTGTGTGATGCCTGCATTCCGTGGATGGGGCTTTGTTTCGGTTTCTGGCATGCTGCGGACCGGGGGTTGGTGACCCCCCTGGTCTTATGTTTCTGGAAAGCACTTGGTCTAGGGTCATAGAAGCAGTGACTACAGATAGTCCTCAGTTTATAATAATTCGTTTAATGACCATTCAAAGTTACAATGGCACTGGAATCCTTTTTCATACTTACAACCGCTGCAGCATCCCCATGGTCACATGATCCAAATTTGGATGCTTGGCAATTGGCTCATAATTATGACAGCTGTAGGCATCCCGGGGGTCACGTGATCCCCATTTTGTGACCTTCTGACAAGCAAACTCAATGGGGAAGCCAGATTCACTTCACAAACCGTGTTACTAACTTAACAACTGCAGTGATTCACTTAACATCTGTGGCATGAAAGGTTGTGAAATGCGGGCAAAACTCACTTAACAACTGTCTCGCTTAGCAGTGGAAATTTGGGGCCCAAGTGGAGTCATAAGTCGAGGACTACCTGTATAACTACAGTCTCTTGGCACCAATGCCAGCCTTTTCAGAAACCTGAAAGGTCTCTGACATAGATATCTTTATGGAGTTACACGCATTGCGGCTTGTCCCAACTACCATCTCTTGGCTCCCATTCCCAGCTGAGAAATCTGGTTCAAAGTGAGGTTACCTTAGTGACTGGAGGTCCTGATTTCCTGAGCTCCACAACCTTAGGAAATTTTTTTTGTTCTTCTTTCTAAGAAACAGGAATGAAATATGGGGAATCAGGGACACAGTCAAACTGCACGCTAATCCAGGCATGGAAGTTAAGTGATGGGGGAAGCTAGGGAGATGGATGTGAAGCATGGCCAGCTTGGACAAAGGGCCCCCAAACTTACTTGCTTATTTATTTATTTATTTATTTATTTATTTATTTATTTATTTATTTATTTATTTATTTGTTTATTTATTTATTTATTTATTTATTTATTTATTTATTTAAATTTATATACCGCCCTATCTCCCTTACGGGACTCAGGGCGGTGAACAGGCAATAATAAAAATCACAATAAATATTGAATAAAAAGCCTGCTCTAAAATACCCCATATAAAAACCCCTATCAAAACACAATCAAAACTACGCCAGGCCGGCCGCATGGAATAGATGGGTTTTCAAGGCTCGGCGGAAGAGGCGCAGGTCCGTAGTTGTACGTAGGTCGGGGGGGTAGGTCATTCCAGAGGGCAGGAGCTGCCACAGAGAAGGCTCTCCCCCTGGGGGTCGCCAGCCGGCATTGACTGGCCGACGGCACCCTAAGGAGGCCCTCTCT